AAGCTCGAGCAGATGCTCAGACTACGCTTTTCCCAGAAGGCTACTTACCAGCCTCTTGGTGTAAATTCCAAATTTTGTTGAAATACGGTTGAAATGTTCGCATTTTTAAAATCCTGATTCATCGAACTGTCCCCATATGTGCCCTAAATTTTACATCCTATGTATCCTTTTCTTTATTGGTTGGTTAATGTAGTTTGATGATTCCTATGTATATTATTTTTATCTGATGTATTTTTTTGGAATTTTCGCACATTACATTCATTTGGAAGCGCACTTAATGTATGTGCTAAGTGACTTTATTTTGACGAAGATGTCTATACGAGTGCTCGATCGGCAGACGGCAAAGGTTCAGTCATAGCTGTTTGCAGATTTCTCCCAAACTTACTTTGTAGTATGGCAGGGTATACAATGTCATGTGTGCCTTGTATCCGCCATCTCTAGACGTATCTCAATGTAGAAGACACGTTTTATTCTTCTGGAATTCCTCCAAATAGAGAGTTTTTTAGCAACTTCATACAAGGCCACGCTTGTGGTCTGTTTCACACATAATGTGCGTCAAAATTAGCCATAGTATTCATTTTAAATATTGGAAGATAACATTCTGCTTACCAGGAGAACAGCTGGGATTTTCGAATTGCGGAAGAACTTATAAATGGGAAAGGTTAGTTATCATCTACCTGCCGTTTGGCGGACATTTTAAGATGGAATCGATTTTCAGAATAACACACCAGCAGCACAGACACATGCTTTACGGATATTCCGCCGCTGAATGGCGCAGCCGCGAGGAGATTTGATAATCACTTGGTTCCCCAGAATTCCCCGTGTGCTGTCAGGTATATACTCCAGTTTAGAAATTGGTCCTTTTTAATTTCCTCGTAAATTAACTGCTAACATGGAGTGGATCACTTTCAACTAAGACCAGAATTTGATGTATGAATATTTAGGCCCATGACCATCAGCCAGAGCTGGATAACCGCGTACTATTTATTAACTGCCGACAGGCAGCTATTAGTATTTAGCGGGTTGCATGATACCATGCTAGCAATACAGGTACTAGCTTAAGGGCCAGATACGTGTTTCGCCCACATTCTGCCGCTGCATGACACAGCTGCGTCCGTTCCAAGTATGCCTGGAAGTACATTTGAGTGGAAAATAAATTAAAGTACATTCTTCATGTAAATAAAGCCATGTTTTCGACAGGAGAGCGTCCTTTACTAGTGCGTATTATGACAGTAAGGAAATAATAGAGATATCATTTCTACTCCGAATTAGGCCCGACAAATCCTAAGTATATGGCACCGTACTTCACGCACCAGTAAACGCTACGACTACAGGCTAAACGTTCGAAATGCCTTTCCGTGTCTAATTTAACATCTTTTGTCAGGCGGGTCTGAAGTTAACGAGACATTTAACATTCCCAATTATACATATACTAATTATGTAGAGGGGCATTTTACAGGGCAGTCTGGGAATAAGCGCCATTGTCGACTCGACAAGTTGCAGAATGTTAAATATGGGTAATACTAGGCTGTCGGCGACAGTATTTAAAAACGGTCTGAATATTTAACGCATATTCTCCTGGCTCCTTCCAGTACGCATTAACTTCTGAAGTCTGGAGTGTGTCTACCATGTTTAGTAAGTCTAAATGTTTGTGTTTAGATGAACATTTTCCCACCTCAGCGTACATAAGTCGACAATATATTTAGGCGCATCCACTCAGTTTGTATCATTTACTGGTGCAGCAAATTATAAAACAATAATTTAACCCACACGCACCTATGGCATCACATATGCTTAGATTTTTCAATAATTCACGATGTGTAGATGGGTCGCTGACTGGCTTTATAAGAGACCTCTACGTCCACAGGTAACATCCAAACTAACCCCTCTTCCGTCTTCGTCATTTAATTAAACGTGCAAGGCACATATTTCTGCAATTTGATAGAAGTCTGCTGTTTTTTAATTACAATGGGGAGGCACGTTTGCCTACTCTGAAAAATCGCTTTGTGATTGACGGTATTTTGGTTTTGTCTGCTACACTTCCAACTTCGATAAATCGAAGTTTTTTTCATTGAAAAAAATCTCTGGAACATGTTTTCCTGCCCACGTCTGGTCCATGTATATCCACGTGTAAAAAAACCCATTAAAGGTAAAAACACGACCCCATCGATCCCTTCAAGGTTAAACATATCGTACGGAGATTTAGAGTGACAGCCGAATTCATTATAAATGGACCCACTCGTCCGGTGTAGGAAAGAAGTCCTCCGAAGTGCATTCTACACGAAGAGCGAATACCAAGCCCTGACGAGTCTGCAATCTTTCGGTTTAACATATTGTCCATTTCAGTTGCATGCGCTTTAATGCCAGAGAGAGTGTTTAATCGTTGACTTGCTATATTTTTAAAAGCATAACGCAGTCCATCATGCAACAGCTCGAAAAGCACACGTCAACAACACTATTGCGAAAAGCCCGATTATGCTATGCTAGTGGTGAGGACTCAAAATATGCAGAAAGGGGATGCTTGCTTAAACATTTATAGAATATGAGCTTTTGGATCAAACTGACAAGTGGAATTAGCAAATGATTTAGTATGAAAAATGTCAGAGAGTTGGAAAAAAACAACCAACCTGAGATGGAACTAGTAGGATGGTGACGGAATTATGCCAAGCCATGACACTCAACTGTTACTTACAGCCGGTATCCATGTTTAATTAGATTAAAAAAATCTGAACCAACTGAAAATACTACGAATGGCAGAACATATTCATCCCGAGGCAACTAACTGAGTAAATAAACTGACCACACATTCCCACAATGAATTAGTTCAGAATAGAAGGGAAAGTTAAGGAAACAAATGGACGTCATATAAGACCTCAAGGATACGCTGCAGCGTAAGCTGCGCATTGGAAGCGTGTGAAAAACCACAACTGTCCGACCGTCGTTGTGGACGATGTCCATCGTGCGCCCTACAACTAGGTTAGAGCAGGCACGGTGACTTGTGCGTGAGTCAGTTTATAGCGGTAGTAGACTTCCATAGTATCTGCCGCACTCGCTCATCCTGCTTACCACATTGACTCGGTGTCAAGGCAGAGTCAAGAAAAGGTCGGAGGAAAAGGGGGAACCGGCTGAAAATAACTAAGAGTGCCAAAAACCGTACAGAAAAACAAAGTATTTCATCTGTTAGCAGCATTGGAAGGAGCAATTGCTTAGGTGTTTAATATGGTAGTTACTTTAAGCACGCGCATGCTGCGGGGAAAGTTATATGACCTATGAGCCGAGGTTCATACATTAGTAACTTATATAAACAAATGCTACTTACAGGTTCACAGTAGTATCATAACAATGATGAGTTTTAGCAAGTGATATCAAGACGACAACGGCCGGACGGCATTGTGATGCGCACTGCGGTGTAGACCTAGTTTCCTTTTAAAAGGTTATACGGGTGCAGAAATAACAATATCGCTTTATGTGTTCATTTACGTCAAGCTTTGCACAACATAGTGAACAATAATTTCTGTCAGTCTTTTGATTAGTTCAGAAAAGTATTTGGGTCGAGTATCACTGCTAAAGATGATTAGTATTTGCCTCATATTTAACTAGTAATTATTTTCTCAAGGGAAAATTGCGATCACAGGCCTGGATCATTTGTGCCCTTCTGCTGCTGCTATATACCAAAAGCAACTTTGGCCTACCCCACAATTTTATCAATATTATCATGGAATATCACAACCTCGCGAGAAAATCTGTACATCCGACTGCGTCAGATATGCAGACACTGGTGAGTACAAACATCTGAGTGGAAACGGATGGGATGCAACCCTCCCCCCCTAAAGCAACGATTCTGATACTGTTATTTTCTTTCAGACTTACGACACCAAGTTGGAGGCATTGGCTCAGGATTGGGCGAAACTGTGTAAGATGGTACACCCTAGCAAGGATAATTTAAAATACAAGCCGTACGGACAAAATCTGGCTGCTAGTGGCAATCGAGAGGTAATCGATAGTCTTCACGTTGCATTGACTGGATGGAACGCGGAGAGGGGCTACTATCTCACTGCGTATAATTCTTGTTCAAAAGAGCCCTGTGGACATTACACCGCGGTAGGCGCAGCCACATACCATTGGATTAGTAGATTTCAAGGTCTTTGTTGATTGTTCTTTTGAGCCTATTCACAGTATCTTTTATCTCTACCACGACAGATGATTTGGGCAAACACAACCAAAGTAGGCTGTGCATAGGCTAGGTGTGACAACTTATTCAACACGAAGTCATACCTGTGGGCATGCCAATACGAGCCCAGGCAAGTTCTCCTTTTCGATAGTTTACTTACGGGATGTTGCATGATTGCATGACCGCCTAAATATGCTTGAACGTCGCAGATGAGGGAAACTGCCCTGGTGAAGTTGGCTGACGTCTTGTGAGGCTAGATGATCTTATGGCACACGACTGACGACCTCCGGCAGTGAGTCATGCATTCGCTCGCAGTGGGCGTCGGTTAGCAGTGGCCGCCCAGTGTGACTACATTTGATGCCGTTGTTGTAATCCGCAGAATAGAGCTGACAGGAAAATTTCCAAGGTGCTTGAGACTCATATCAAAATAAGGAGATTGTTTAAAGGCTGAGCATAACACTAATCGGAAAATTTCGCGCTGGCCTTTGAGAATTGCGCCGAAAATATTGGCTGACAGATTATTTAATCTGTCCGCGTGGTGATTTTGATGATATAGCCTGTCTTTTTCGTAAATTTTGAACTGCATGCGCATGTGCTTCATTATGATCCATATGCTTCCTGGGTAAATATTCCAAATTTAGCCTGACATTTATGGATTTACTACTTTAAGGTAATTTCATGGCATGCTATGACAATGCCAAGATATACTTATACAGTGAACAGTCTAGGAAGCCTCTGGACTTCCGAAGGTACGTACATTCACCCAAATCTTTGAATATATCGCCGGCTGAAGATATTTGAGTAGTAAAACTAATATACTTTTGAAGCTACCGCATACAAAGTCCCCGGAGTGGACGAACTTCTGTTAAGTTTTCGCAATAAAATAATAACCCAGAAATGAATTTTAACGGACAGCAAATATATGTTTACCCCTACATGCGGTAGACGGGCAATGTCACAATCTGTCAAGCGACAAACCGACGACTGTTCGCAATTTAAAAATAGTAATCAAGTAGTATTGTGAATCTGGTTTTCGTCCAGCATATACGCAAGGTATTTCAGCCCCTTAAGGATGCGTGTCTTGGAAGGAGTTTCATTTCGGCCGTCTGCAAAAACTACACGGTGAAAATTACTCCTTATACAGTGCGTGACCTATCTCATGAATTGTTGGCTGATATTCTGAAATGCGTTTTCGCTTAGGAAGGATTACTTGGTCGCGGTTGTGATACTGATTATCTTAAGGCATACTGTTATAACATTTTGGATTTGGCAGGATGTCGGCTATTAAATGCACTTCTTTTCAATCTCCTGTAGAAAGCGTGCTTGATAAAAAATGACTACATAAGTAGCATGCATTTTTCCCATTGATTTTCGATGGTCTTTGAAATTCAGATATATTTTACAGAAAACACAAACAAAAATATGCTTTCTTTTAGTCAATCAATAGAGAGCCACGTCATCTTTATATTTGATACTCGAGAAATGAGTATAATAAGGTTTTGAAAAAGTTTTCTAATTGCCGAAAAATTTGGAGCCTGATCATTCGTTGCATTAGCGCTTAGTGATTACACTCTACAAGGTGCATGCGTTCCGCGTAAAGAAAATCCCATATTTTTCTATGTTATTAAAAAGATATCATATAGGGTCGATAAAATTTTGCAATGGATGCGGACCATGTTGTACATTTCATGAGGAGCAGTGGTAAACGGCCAGGTACGATGCTATGTGAATGGACATATCGCGGTCTTAAAAAGTCTCACAATTAGAAACTTTTTTAAAACCTAATCATGCTCCTTCCTTAAGTATACAATATAAAGAAGACGTGATTCTCTATTGATTGATTAAAAGAAAGTATTTTTTTGTTTGTGATTTCTATAAAATATTTTTGAATTTTCAAGACCATCGAAAATCAATGGAAAAAATGCATGTTTCTTAAGCAGTCATTTTTTCCAAGCACGCTTTCTACAGGAGTTTGAAAAGAAGTGCATTTAAAAGCCGGCATCCTGCCGAGTCCAAAATGTTATAACAGTATGCCTTAAGATAATCAGTATCACAACCGCGACCAAGTAATCCTTCCTTATCGAAAACGCATTTCAGAATATCAGCCAACATTTCATGAGATAGGTCACGCACTGTATATTAGAACTTTTTCCGACGATTTTCACTCCCAACATTATCTGCAGTAGATATGTCAGGTTATAATCTGTCGACTTGAATTCGGAAGGCTGTTTGTGATTTGAAAGCCGTACTTAAGTAGTGTTGTGATGTTAATTTTCGTCCAGCACGATCGCAAAGTGTTTCAGGCCGTTTAGGCTGCGGGCTACGGAACGGGCCTTATTTTGACCTTCTGTGAGACCTACACCCCAAATATTACCGCTCGTGCATAATGAATTTTTCCCATTGATTTTCGTTACCCTTGTATATTACATGTATTTTTAACAATTCATGCCTAAAGATATTTATTTGATAAAATTACCACGGTGTCCTTAAGTTGCTGCTTAAAGAAACGGTAGTGTTTGGTTTTAAGACGTTTTTCAATACCTACATAATTTTGGGCCCGACGTGCCATAGCTCTTGCATTCCGCGTTGTCAAATAAAAAGCCGTATATTTTCCTTGTAAGAAAAATTATACGTACGCCGTTGAGATGTCATATTACACGCAAAATATTTAGTAAGCGTGGGCCATGTTTTACACTTTAAAAGCAGCGCCAATTAATGGACAGGTGAGGAAATTCATGAATGGACATTCCGTGTTCTTAGAAGACATAATTTGCCGCCTTCGGGCATACATTCATCAAAATATAATCTAATTTACAAAGACATCGAAGACGATGGTAAAGATGCACGCCGTATAAGTGGTTATTTTTAGAGTATGGCCTTTGCAGGCGACCCAAGAGAATCGCGTTCTAAGCTCCACACCTGAAGTGAATAAAATAGCTTGTTATCATTTTCTACGACGACTAATATTATAATAACTTATCTTAGAAATATTTTTGAATCCAAGACAATTGTTTTCCTTTGACATTTCGTAAGGCAGCAGATCTGCTGCAAACGTTAACGGCCATCGAGAGATAAGTGCGCCGACTGTAAATTGAAGGCCAGTTCACAGAACACATAGGCAGACACTGATCGCATTTTAGTACGGTTAACACAAATCGCCCGGTAGGTAAAAGAATCTGTAGTAGAAGACGTCATATGGAAAGAAGATTTTTGTTCTAATTTGAGTATCTGCTGTGTTAAAACTTTCAGCGGAAACTGGATAGGCAAGATACCGTACAAATTCGGACGTCCTTGCACGCAATGCAGAGCCGGACAGCAATGCAAATTGAAGCAGTGTTATTAACTGTTCATATGCTGTCTCATAAATTGGTTCTCTTCACAGTTAATATGCTTTATATTTGTGTGTATTATTGTGGTGCTTGGTCATAACAAGGTGCAGATAAATAAAATATTTTAAAACAAAACATGCTTCTCATGCACACAGTTTGGGAGCATGTGCACACTTACACACGGAATTGGCGTTGCGGATAAACAAAGAGGGGTGCGATAAGAGCGTTGTAGTGGGATCCTAGTTTGACGATCCTGGGCTTATTACCAAGCAGGGTCTTACAGCAAGGGCATATAACTGGCTGACAGGTCGAAATTGTTTTTTTTTCACTATGCTAATAGGAAAATTGAAGATTCATGCGGTAGCTCATGGTGAGGTTCTGTATAACGGACTCAAAGTAGGAATTTTTCTAAACTCACTGGTCTATAGTGAACATCTTGGTCCTAGTTGACTTCCCTGTCTTTTGATGCTTCTTAAAATGTGGCAGTAAATGTTCTGCATGTACAGAGCTAGCCGCGATCGGAAGACAAAGAATTGTCAATACTGGTGAACTATTGTAAAATTAACACAGGCTCTCCGCTGCGTCAAAAACGTTCAAGGAAGTTGCTGAAGAAACATCCGACTGTAGTATAGAGTCTTGGCAGGAAAAGGGGTCAGTAGTATTTTGAACTAATTGTGCATAGCTTGGCGATGACGAAATGATGCGATTAACAACTCCGAACACGAATTATATAGTAAGCGCTCTCGTACGTCAATGAAGACGCGGAAGACATCACCCACCTACCCATGTTTCGTGGGCGCTAGGTATTTAAGCCGAAATCCCTGCTATCACTGTGGAAGTCATCTAGATTCTTTCACCGTAGTTGTGGACAAAGCAGTTCATTCGCTGGATCACGTTTGCATCTTTCATTTCCACAAGGTCAAAATGCTCATGCGAGGTGGCATCCAGATGAACCGCGTTCTGCCTGAGTCTGCGTTCTACGGCTGGCAGTTCATCATCTCGTGGAATGGCCTCCTATCTTCATTTTATGCAGTGGGCCTTTGCGTGACGTGTTGTTTTGGCATATTGGAATTGTGCGGTCGAACAGTACGGCAAGTGGTAGTCGTTTGTCACATCACTTGTAAACACTGATAATAAAATTACTCTCTGGCATACATAACCGTCGATTTTATCAGTTGAGTTCAGTTTATTTGAGAAAAGTAGGGGTGCGCCTTTGAAATCCCTATTTGTTATACATAGGGGAAGATTGCGAGAAAATTAACGACACAAGCGAAGATGCGAGTTCCAGGAACTAGTTGATCAAAAGAAGAGGCGATCGCTGGAACAAGGGCTTTATTCGCCTGGCGTTTCGGATTTTTACTTGAACCCATCCTCAGAGACAGTGGCAGAAAACAGTCACTCATGCGCGGGAAGTTGCAGTATTTCTAGGATGTAGTCGCTATGCTTCCACATACCCATACCAATTAACCGCGCTCCCCTTTATCAAGGACTGTTGCCCGCTGGTGCGCTAATTGATTGATGGCCGGCATGCAAGTTGTTAATTACCGAAATGTCATCACCCGTGTTGGATGCTGGTGTGATGATTGCCCGGCCATCTGGCTCACCGGCGTGCGCGCTCCCTGTGTGGTCAATTACTTTGGCCAGCCAATGCCTCAGCACAGAATATGGAGTGGCGATGTCATTGCACTTGATGATAGACTGAGGTCCCGTGAACCATGACTCAAGCAACTCGCGGCTCA